AAGCACCGTTGCCCGCCTTCTCCCTGCTACTCCCTAATTTTCCTGCGCCTCGATCATACAATTTCTGAATCGTCAGATATAAACGCGATCGAGGCTCGCGACGGGTTGGCGTTTCAACGTGGAGCGGATCAGGCATATGGCTCTTTGACAAGAATCGAGCCTCGGGTATCGGTAATACGCTCAGCGCGTTATTGAAACGCGAAAGCCCGGAAAGCTCTTGTACGGTTAAATATGGCCGAAATGCGACGGCTCTAATAACTCTGGATGCATAGTTTGCGCCCTGTTCAATTTTCTGTTCTTCAACGTTGAAAATAATACCTACTATATGTGTACACGCAACGTGTAACCAATTGTCAGGAAAACCTCTACTTTGTCTCAACGCCGAGAAACTTTGACCCGTATTTTAGTGGAACAAACGTGTTTACTTCTGTAAAAGTTACGAGCCTTTTAACTTTATGGAAGACGGATTGAAAAGAGGAAGGATAAAGATAGCGAGGAGGATCGGGCAGGAAGGCAGAAGAGGTCGTAGCAATTCGACGCGCATTCTTGCAGCGCGTGCCCGACAATTTTGCGGCAAGAGGACGCCTTCACAATTAGCGGTATCTACCGACGAACGAAGGATGCATTCTTCTTGCAGAGACGAGTCCCACGCGGCAGCTCGAAGGGCTCTTCTCCTTCTCGGTTTTGTCGTTAAGCATTAATTGAGCCCGGCCGTGAGATTACAGAGAGAGGATCCTTCGTTCGCGGAGAGGTAACCGAGAAACCGAATGAATTTCAGCCCGCGGTGCTCTACTCCCTCCCATCTCTGTCCATCTTTCTTTCTTTCTTTCTCTAACCAGTCGGTTTCTCATTTTCTTCCTGCCGTGGCTCCTCCAGAACCGGAGACCAACCTGTTATTAAGGGACCCCGGCGATTAGATTGCGCTAATGGCGAACCGCTGTCTCCTTTCGAGGGAAGAAACGGTCCCGCTCCTCTCTTTTCCCTTTCCTACGGTTATTCAGTGCGTTTTTTCATCTTGGCTACCTTTCCTACCACGGACACGACACCAAGAAAATATTCCACGGCCGAAAATTCAGCATCGTATCGTAAAATCGGCGTACATCTGGCACGGGATGGTTTCGTACCGTGGCTGTACCGTGATTCCATTAAGGAAAGGCTCTTCGCTGATCCCACTCCTGCCACCCTCTTCGTCGTGGCGATTCTCTGTCGCGCGGGACTCTCGTTCCAGGCCTGCCAGCACTCTTTTAAGCGCCTCGTATTTCCCGTGGGAATACGACAGTCCCCGACAAAAGCACGAAAAACGTTTAATAAATAAATTGATCGGGTTTCTCCCTTCCGTGCCGTGTCCTCTTTTTCCTTTCCCTGTGTTCCCCGCTGCATCCCGGTTCATCCTGTCCTTCCGACCAGAAACGTACAATCCCCCTCGCCTTCCGGAAACGCGACACCAAAGGCTACGATTCAACTCACGTTTCATTAGCTCGCTAATGCTCGCTAGACGAGAACATTTCTACCGAAGGGATTAGCTACATACATTTATATTGGATATTATTCCTTCGCTCTTACAAGGCAACCCCTTCATACGTACGGTTTATTCCAAACGAAACTTACTACGCTATCGAGTGATAGTCAAAGTGTTGGAACAGCGAACAGCAAGATTCCGAAACGAAAATCGCCGTAGATCCTAATCTATACATATACATATGTAGATGCATGCAGAGACCGTAGGAAGAGAGAGAAGAGAGAAATTGCTGGGTTAGGAAATAGTAGGTAGGTCAAACCCGACTGGTCGCCGGTTTTCAGAAAACCAACCATTAGCGACTGGAGGACGGTTTCTTCTACGTGCACGCTGGATCGAATCATCGACGAATAATGCGCGACTAGAGGGTGTGTCCCCGTGAGACAAAGGGAAGGAGCCTGCCTCCTTTTGTTTCTTTGACCGAGGAAGAACGAAGAATCACAGCCGCTGCTGTCGATTATGGTTTTTTGCCCTCGCGATACGAGAAGCGCAGGATACGATTAGAGATACGGGACGTGGCTGGATGAAATTTACGACTGGCGCGGCTTTTCTACCGTGAGATACCTCGGATTCATCCTAAAACTTATCGATTCCATTAAGTACTATTAGCAAGGTGGGTCACGGAGGCGAGGGTTCGTGCCCCGGGCGGTCAAAAACGTTTTAGCCTTGCTTACCTGTTCGCCCGGACCGTTCCAAGTGGATTCATTTGTTTCAAGAACCACGAAGGATGGAAGATTCGGCCGTCGAGATAAACGAGTCAATCCAACAAAGTATTCGTTGCTCCGCGTCCGGGATTCTTCTTTCGAATATTTCAGACGCATCGTCCCTGCGCAGCGCGGTGTTATTCGTCTTTCTCGCTGGCTCCTTTCGATATTTCGACGATACCCTCGAGACAAAACTCCTCGTCCGTGGTCCTTCCTTCTTTTTCCTTACAGTTTTCTCCGTTTTTACCTTTCGATTTTCTTGGAAAAAATTTCACGGGCATGCAAAGTTCAGGGTTGTAACCGTAGACAGGCGATGTACGTTTTTTCTCGAGAAAATTAATGGACCCGGTGAAACTCCCGCTCGCAATTTCATCGGTGACTCGCATCGTTCGTAAACCTTTCCGTTTTCGTATCAGTCGTCGGGGTGTTGGCTGTTTTTACTACGAGGTTCGAGAGACCGATCGTTTGAGCACAAAATAGACGATGAATGCCGCGCAAATTTCGGTAATCTCGAAACAGATTTTCCAAAAACTTATGCCCGACAACGTGGCTACGTGGCGCGGCAGCATGTCGTTAACGCGTTAGACCTCGGAAAATGATGGTTGTAACATGATGGCATCACGTGCAGTAGGGGCTGTCGTAGCCGAGTGCGAGACACGTGTTCGTAGACAGTGTCCGAAGCGTTACTGGACCCGCATCGTTTCAAGGTCTATGGACCTACTTGAACACGGCGCCCTGAACATCAAAGAAACCCTCATTGATGGAAAACAACGAAAAAATTTAGCGGACGATACGAAAATAAACCGACGCGAAATCACCGAACCGTCAGTAAAGAAAAATAGAACCCATTCACAACGACAAAGAATGTTTCTAGATGCGATTCATCGCATAACCGAACAACTATGCAGGCTATTCGATAATCATTTAGTCAAATTTAACAAAATTATCTGCTGGTCGTTAGAACGTAACTAACTCGTATTCCCAGGACGTTTCACCGGCGGATGATCGGTCCTCGAGGAATGTTACCCCCGGTGTAGGGCCCCAACTGCGTGGAACTCCGTGGCTCGAAGGACTGTATCATTGGATCGTGCACGAGCACCCCCCTGCTGTGAGAAACTCGAGGGTACCAGACGAGAGGGGGTGTGGCACCGGTACACCCCTCAGAATCCTGCGGTCATCCCTGTTCGTCGGCAGCCTTTAGAGGCCCGTATACCTACACCGAACGTGGCTTTATGCAGTCCTCGTCTTGTACAAGCCGTTACGGAACCGCCCTATAATGGGATAAAAATAACCGTGTTTATATAGGATTACGAGCCGATCATCTCCATTCTACGAAGAATTTCTACGCGGAACCGGAGGGTTCAGGGCTCCGGAAAGGAAGGGTACGACTATTACCGATCGAACAGACGCTAACTCGATACTATTCTTTAGGTTCGATTAGTTTGCTGGATAATTGCTGCAAAATGGAGAACGAGGCGATAACAGGAATGGTTTGATCCCCCGATCGTATCTCTTTCTCAATATTGAATGTTTCTTCGAATATTTCGTTGTTAAGATCAACGCACTGGCGATTTTCTGGCAAAAGACAGAAGGCAATAGGTCGCGACGTACGTTTCGCACCGAAGGGAACCTGAATAAAGAGAGACTAGGAAATCAGAAACGCTTTCGTCCCACCCCTTTCCAACTTGGCGTAACATCCGCGATCGACCGGTGTATAAATTTGTTTTTTCGTCAAATAAATACGCCGGCCATTTATTTGCCGGGTCTTGCCTCTCCCTTTGACCCGCAACCTTCCCTCCAGCCTCCCTCGGTCTTGTTGCCATGGTCCTCGTACCAGCAGGATTGCCGTACTTGTCGCAGTGCTAACTGCTGTTCATCCGGATAAATAAATATTGACCATCGAGGCAGGTACCGCAAACAAATCCATTAATAACAGGAATGTAACCCCGTTGCGGAGGCAAACGGGCATACAGCCGACCGTATTTAACCATATCTGAGCCCGCGCCGACGAAATCACCATTCTCGGTGTCAATTTATATCCGGGAATAGATTCACCGTTATGCTAGAATAATTTAATAACGCTCGGTCGTGGGTTAGGTTTGGGTATCTTCTTTTTTGTACGCGGGTTCCCCTTTCCCAAAAGCTCCGATCATCAGCGGCGATCGATGCAGCTTCGATCGGAGGCTGCAAACGAGATAGAACAGCGACGGATGGCGGGCAATTAGCAAAACTGTAATTAAATATACCGCATAGCGTTTCGTACCGGCGGCTCAATTTCGCAACACGCTGCGTCTCGTTAACGCGCGTATTTACGAAAGTAAACAGTTCGCGGTCTCGTAGATTGCGCCTTGCCTCCTCTCCTGAACCGTGAATGTCCAATTGGATCGATTCGATGATAATGCCGCGGCATATCTATCTAATTACATATTTCGAAACGTGAATGGTCTTCTCGTCGCGACTGCTGGGCGAAAACTCGGACCGATCTGCGTCGCGCTGCACCGGATCCAGCATCCACGCTCCCACCAGCGACATTGTCTCTCTTGACTTACGATTTACCGGGTCCATAGCGTCTCTACTAGTTGGTCTAGTACCCCACCACTGCCACTGCCACAACCTCCACCTCCGACGCCGCCGCCGCCGCCGCCGCCGTCCCCGCCGACGTAGCTACCACCACCACCAGCACTACCACCACCACGGTCGAGCAGCACCGGCGCCCAAGAGGCGAAGGGCCCCGAGGTTTCTGCGCTCCGAGTCAGTTGGCCGACACGAGCCGCGCGCGTTGGGGCTTTCGATGTTATGTGCTCGTCGAAGGTGATAACGTGGTTCCGTATCGCACGGCGTGCACGAGAACTCGTTTTTTACCTCGTGAAATGAAATACACGGGTAAAGAGCGCGCGAGTCGCGTTCCGTTCCTTGGCCCGACCCTACCAACCCTTGCAAAACAGTGGGAGATTATCGCGAGTTCTTGAACGCGATCTATTTCGTTGGACGTGCCAACGTTCAACGGATCGTTCGATGACGTTCGATCACGCTGTTTGCGGACTGCATGGATAATAAGACCTGTGTCAGTGCAGTGGAGGTTAAAGTGCTGGTCCAGTGGATAAACGAAGGTAGTGACACGTTGGAGAACGTTAGTGAGGCTCTCGGTGCGAGTGGATTTCTCAAAGAGCAACACCCGCTTCGAGACTCGTCAGCCGCTATCGAGTGAGTTTCCTACTTAAATCGTGTCCGCGTTTTCTCGCCAAAGTTATCGCGTTCGATCGAAACCTCGCATTGTGTAAACAAGCTTTCGAACGATCCGAATATCGACTGAATTTCAAGCCTGAGCTCGAGCTTACCGTGACAAAATTCGGGTATGAAGGAGTGCAACGAGCGAGTCGCGGAGTGTACTTGGCGAATTACTCGCGTGTTTCGTATTCTCGATTCGGTGACGATCGAACGCGCGTTTCGGAAAGGTTCGACGATATTGGGAGGTAGACATCACGACGGGCCAACTCCCGCTGGGCCACCACTGTCTCCTGGAACCTACTTAAAAATGCTGCGGCACCCAGTACGTATACCATCGCATCGTTTCTACAACCGATGCTATCACGCTCGATTTCCCTCGACAACGGTTCCGTTGTTACTGCTAAATTCGAATAAAGTCTCGCGACAAATAAACCGATTCTTGTATCGGCTAGCAAATTCGAATTGCTGGTTGAAAATAGCAGCTTTGATATTGATAATAATGTCAAAAGTGCGAGGCGGTGCGGTTGGACGAAACGATTTACTTGTTGCTCCCTGCGAGACTCGATAAAATCGAGATATTTGCGACTGACAAACGAATCGTCACGGTATTTTCCTAGCTCGAATCCTCCTTGAACTCGCGATATGTTTCGATAAATGTGTTCCATGTACATATCGGGAATCGCGTAAGCGTACATAATGCACGTTTTCGTGTACGTACAAGTGAACTAGATTTATGAGAACAATTTTGGTCGGTGATCCCTAAGTTTAATGCTTGGCTAGAAAGTAAATTACATATGGTATACCAGAGGTACTAAGGTAAATACAATTAGATCGAACGGTGGATATAACTGTTAACAAGCAAATAATATTAACGACATCTGTGTAATAAAAATGAGAGGAACAGGACAGGATTCGCAAACTTCAAACGGAGAATCAGTCATGCGTAAACTGAATGGGATCCACCGAGAACGTGTGAGATCGAACAAGAGCAACGCATTCATTCGTATCGTGATAGATAGCTGTTATTTGAAAGCGATATCGTTTGCGTAATGTAGCGATTTTAATGCAAAGGCAAACCTTTTATATTTTTGAGAACGTACCGTCGATGAATTAGCGAGATTTTCCTGAACAAATTGAATACTAACACAACCGTGCATACGAAAATATGTGTAAGTACATAGTATCACGTGTAGCTAACGATAATTCGAATATGATCATGTTTGGATTTGTTTTAAATCGAGAAGCCTCGTCGAGCCATTTCTCACGAAGCTGCAATGAAAAATTTAAATATTTTAAGTTTGTTATAGGATAAAAATTGTTGCGTCGCGCGACAAAGAACACTCTCTCTCTCTCTCCCTCTCTCTCTCTCTTTCTCTCGGCATTTAGCCAACTTTTATCGGCAGAGAAACATGAAGAGTAGTGGAAATCGCTTCGCGCCTTGAAGCTGGAGAAAAATGATGTTTCGTAACAAGGAACAACTCTATACATAGGGTATTCAGTATCTGTTGTAATAAATATCGACGAACGAAAGTCTTTGTTTCTTTTCTCATAATTTGAACATTTCGTTGTTATTGATTTCCATTCTATTTTGGTACGTAAAAATCAATTCTTGAAATGTCTTATATCGGTATTCGAACATATACTATATGTTAACATGTTAATATGTGAACATATACTATGTATCTACTGCACGATAAAAAATCGATTTTATAAAACACGAAAACAAATCCCGCGTGTCGCGGATAATTTCCATCGCTTTCGTAATACTCCTGATTACACTGTCGGAAATTAATTAGGTGAAAATTTTGATGGAATATTGGTATGCTTTTGGAGTAAGCTGCTCAAATATCGAATAGCGTAACGTGCGAACGGAGAAATAGAAGAGCGAACCACCCCTCCCGATACATATTTCGTGTATTTACGATGAAACTCGTGGCTCGCGCCCCCTCCGGTTCACGGTGCGTACATTTCGCGTAAATCGTTGAAAACTTACTGCCGCCATTACGGCGTGTATCGAACGACTCGATCCTGTATACGCAATTCTAGTAAGTGGCTTCAAATGTTTGTAAATCTCCGTTCGACGCTCCATATGGACGACCACTTTACGATCATACGATCCCAAGGTAGCAAATTCGCCGGAAGTCGGCTGCCGTATATTCGTGGCATCCGATAAATACATTTTTATGCGTCTAATTTTCGTAAACACATCATACATCGTACGCGAAGAATGAAAAGCGAACGAATATCGATCAAAACAATGGAGTATAGTGTATGTTAAAGAGTTACAGTGGTTAGTTTAATATTTCTCTTTTCTATTTCATCGAACGAGATTCAATCGACGTTTGAAAATAATTTTCCTCGCTAGAAAGGTACGCGCGATAACAATCCTGTGTCGTGTTCGATCGAGTGAAACGAGAGATTATAAAATAGCGCGCGATTTATTGAACAAATCGATATCGTGAAATTGCTAACCGTTCGCGGCGTTGGGGAATCGTTGTTTGCGACGCTTTGTTAACCGTACGATCGGTTCTTGAGATCATACAGGCCATTAACGAGAATCTATCGCGAGAGACGCGGCTACTATAATCTGCCTCCGATTTCGTCCGAACGATGCAATTAATTAATAAACGGCGCTACGCGCCGGCTCGTCATTGATAGGAGGCATTAATCGCGGCCGCGATGCCCGGCCACAATAATCACCTCTTTGTCTCATTCGACGGGAACGATGTCCGCGAAAATGTTCCGCTTCGAGTTGCGCATCAAGATCATTACGTATCTATGTAGCTACTTGAATTTCATTCATTTCTCATGCTTTTACATATTTTGCTCATCCAATACGATATTTATCGCAATTATTGGTAATTATTGGTAATTGTTTATTAAAATAAGAAAAGAAACAGAAAATTAAACGACTGACCCCCAATTACACGCTCTTGTAAACAGTTACATCATGTTAATAACATCGAATGCTTAACTTATATTACGCAAACAGCTTTCGAGTTATTTGTTAGCCAACTCGAATAAGTTGTTTGCAACCAGACGATTGCAGTATATAGCTGCTTCGGGACATCGTTCGTATCACTTTGGAAAAGTTGTAAACACTTTGAAAACATTTACGCGAAACAAGATCCGCCTCGATGGAGAAGGGTCCTGCTGCTTCATTTTGACAGATATTATTAACGACTAAACGACCTACGCGCACTCGTACCAACGTAATCATTTCCGCGAAACGGCGCTCGATAGAGAGAGGCCAGGCCTCCCGTCTCGCTCTCTGACCCCCTCGTGGCGAGCCTGTCTGCCGGGAAAAATAAAAAAGTCAAGTCGAGCGGAACGTACGTCGCGCCAATAGATCCTCTTATTTCTGCCTACGGCATGCGCGTCGTTTCGTTTCTGCAAACGCAGCGAGCGCGACACGCGCCTCTTTCAATCTCCCCGTTGACGTTACCTCGCTTTTCAACAGAGTTCTCGCGGCCGCTTTCGCCGCATCGAGACCCCGCGACTTCCGCTCTTTCTTTCAACGCCGCGTCGCCTCGTCGAGTCGCTTTGCCTCGACAAAGTACGCACGATTCGAATCAGCCTACGAAATTCCACCGTTCGAAGCGTTTCGCGATAGAAAATCTTTCATCGTCACAACGAGTCAAATGAATATCGAAGTATCGACATTTTTCACTTCTAACGAGTACACGAGCAGTTTCAAGCACTAAAATCAACTATAACAGTATTCGAAAGGACGTAATGTTGGAATTAAACATGTACGTAAACGATCTGCGGTCGTCGACGTATCCTTTTAGTATTCGTTCAGAAGAATCGGATGATAATTTCGCAACAGTGACGCGAGATGTTAAGAAAACCACAAACAGAATATTCGATCGATAAAATTGACGATCTTTGTTTCCAAACCTCCCATTCGAAAGTCCATATCCACGAAAAAGTGTATCTAAACGCATTTTGCTTAATCCTGTGGTGGTAAAAAAAGCAACCGGCACGACGCGACGATCGTGTCCGCTATTTACAGGCTTCGTGACCCCTCGGCGTTGCTTTTCCACTTCCGCTTTCACGCGACACGCGTTCACGAGGGATCAAAACGAGATGGAATATCACGCACAGAAGAGAAAGATGTTTCGAGTCGAAGAGGCAGGAAATGCAACGCGCGTGATGGGAGTACGTAAGCCAGGCCGATGAGTGTGTCGCGTCTCGTTCCCTCAGACTTTGAACGTTTTCCGTGACCATTAAAAACTCGTCGATGCACCGCGCTATCTCGAGCCAAGGATCGCTCCTCCTGCTCGTATCGCGGTTACGATCGACTCGACGGGAAAGAACATTGCGCCCTCGAGGAAGAGCCCTGCCCACCTGGCACGCGCGAACCCTCTATCTGCGTTCTCACGGCTCGGCGTGTTTTACCTGCTCTCGTGAAACACGCGCGAAAACCATGTTCACGCTTCTACCAACAGATCCTGCCAGCCCCTCCCTCCCTCCCTCCATCAACGAGAATTTCTTCTCCGTTGGCCGGATCTCAGCTTCCGGGCCACAGGACGACCAATATAATGGATAGAAATCGAACGAAAGGGACCGTTGGATACGATGATAGATAGAGAGAGAGAGAGAGAGAGAGAGAGAATTTCTAGTAAATAACGCATTAATCCAAATACGTAGTTGGTAAATTAATTTTTCCAATACTTTCACTAGGTTTTTGCTTTGTAACAGCAACAAAAGTAAATTTTACTGGAAACAAATTCCATTTTTCTCAATTTTTACTGCTCTTAGTTTTACCTTTGTTCCGACATTGTTCACGCATAAACGTGATATCGAAGGAGCAAGTTTCTTTTAGCAATGTCCGTGACGTTGAGATACGAAGCAACCTCGAAACGAAAATGTCGTTCACTTTCACGCGTGTTCCTTTACACGGTGACAGATACATATTTGCAGGGCACGACGCCCGGCTCCGGGGCTCGGGATGCTCGTGTTGCATTTTATATTCATGCAAAAACGTCAAATAACTTTCACCGTGGCGAAAATCGAGCGTGGGTGGCGCGTTTGATCCTCTCCGTGTCCAGGAAAACCTGATGTCGTCGTAGCACGAATGCGACGAACACACGCGTGATCGCGACGGTGTATTTTCAGTTACAGCGTCCGGACGCTCATATTCGCGCGACGCTGCCCTCCGTGTCCTCTTCTAACGAAACGATCAAAGAAATCTCCAAGGTGTGTTTTCAATTTCTTCCGCGCGGTCGTACCCGTTTCTTTCGTTTCGCGATTTTCGAACGAGTTTCCGTAAAGCGAGATTCTTTTGATCCCCGACGAGAATACGTCGATCGCGATTTTAAAACGAGCCCAAGCTACCGTTTAGGGGTTAAAATTGCTTCTCTTAGGGATTATTTTTATGTAATTCTTTGTACTCGCTTTTCATCGTGAAAAAAGGCCTTAAAGCAAACGTGTAAAGGATCCTTTGACTGTTTGATCCTTGCGACCGTTTACATTGTAGAAAATCGATCGATGGTAGAGTTTATAAATCTCTAGAGACAGAATTATTTTAATGCTAAAACATGATCGCGTGAAACCATGTACCTATCCCATCCACTTGTTTGTAAAGTCTCTGGTAGCAAACAAGAAACGTACATGTAGGAAAAAGGTATCGTAAAAAGAAACAGTAAGCAGGATGAGTAATTTCATAAAAGGAATAGAGCGAAATCAGGTCGTTGCAAGAATGTGTTTTACACCGCATCTTCGATTTGTTTCTTCGCGATGAATGTCTTATAACGGAATACATAGCCTGCATGTTTATTAGGAGAAACGAAAGAAAAAGGAAAATGTCACCTGGCCGGATAGATCGTTCGTTCGTATAGAAGGTTCCGTGGTGGTATCTACGAGATCTGTGTGTCCAGATCGTAACAAGATAGGGCAGGGCGGACGGTCGATCGCGTGTGTGTGAACTTGTAGTCGCATCTGGCAGTGGTAAGTAACGGCCATGGTCAGTAAAGTCAGGAGGACCTGTATCTCGAAGGATCTTCATCTGCTGAACGACTACCTACGTGGAAGGTGAGCAGAAGAAGAGGACGAATAGATCGTGGAAGAAAAAGAAATATTCTACGGACGGTCTATAAAGACGCTCCGCAAACCCACATCCCTTCTTTCCTGTGCACGCGGGAACGGGGTTGACATGTTTATTTCGCTTGGTAATCTTCTCGGATTACGTTCAGTCGGAGAGGAAGAAAAAGGAAAAAAAAAAACAGAGAAACGGTGACTGACGATAAGGGGGTGGAGAAACCGAAGAATAAATAGTCTTAACCAAGGGCGGAGATGCCGTGCATACTGGTATATGTATATGGTTGTTCCATACCTGACGCGTTCAGGGGTTCCTTGCGGTCGCGATCCTTTCTACTTCGTTTCGGGCTTGGAATCATTTTTACGCGTAGGATTCGCTTCTAGACTGGAAAACAATAGCGAAAATGCCATTACAAGAAGAAAGAAGAAAACTGATGATTTCTATCATCTGCCAAACTCAAATATTGGGTGACTGTCGCTGCTTCGCGTAGCGAATGTTTGCGATTATACCGGTACATGGGTGCCCGCCACCTGGGTTCGACCGCTAGCTTCGACTGTACCGCGGTCAACCCTTCTATCGACAATTTCCCATACACTACCCGAGATTCCAAAGTCGGATCCTCCGTTCGATGGAACTAAACCCCGATTCTACGGTTAGAAATCAACACTGAGATTACCTAACACTTTCAATTCACAGACGTCGCGACACAAGAATCTTTAGTTGAATCAAATTTCAGGCGTGCTAATCGGATATTTCTTTACGATTCTATAGTATTGAACACGCGTTAATCAGCCCGGATGCCTGATACATATCCTTACAATGACAAGATTCGAAAATAGTCGCGTTTTGCATGTTGGAATCTACGACAAAGATGCGTCGTGCGTCGATCGCGAATCAACCCATCTATCCCATGAAATAGAAACATCGAAGGGAACGTTGGCCTGGCAAAACCGGTAGCTTTATATGCACTTCATGAGGCTCGGCTCGTTGATTTCCCCCTACCTGTTGTCACGCGATACCCGCGCTGCCCTTCCAAGCTTTTAAACCGCTTTTAAGTCGCAGCCGTGTTCACCTCGATGCCTGAAATCCCGGGACTCGTCCATCCCTTCCAGCGCGGCAAAAGGAAGAGCCCGGCCTCGAAACGAGCGGACAGCTTGCACACCGCTCGTACAAGTGCCGAAGAAGAACTCCGACAGAACAGGTCCTGTGAAAAGAAAGAGCTTTTCTGGGGCTACGGCAGTGAATAGCACTCGAGTTCTCTCGCGCTTATCCCGTCGAGAGGGCGAGAGAGCGGAACAGAGTGCGAACCATTCGTAGCAATTGCAGTGTGAAATGCCATGTGTTCGTCCGCGCGCCACGCCACGGCACGACGCGACGTCGCGCGTCGGTCGGCGTCGAGTGTTTTAAGCCTTTGAGTGGTAATACCGGGCACGTTTATAAATTGAGTCCTCGTCCTGAAGGATTAGACGGAGCTCCCGCGATGGGAAATCTGTGTAGGGACGCCGATACGCTCGCATAATGCGCGTTCCACGAGCTCCTCGAGCTCTCCTCGCCCCGTGGATTATTCCGCGTCATGAATCTCGGGGAGCCTCCTTGTTCCGAATCCTCGTCTACCTTTACCCCTGTCTACTGTCTCCACTGTGTGTTTGTTCCCGTGGTTTCACCGACTTTCCGCGTCCTCGAGCCGAACGACACCTTTGATCGCGAAAACGCGTAGCTATGATACGTCTGCTCGCTCACGGATTACGTTCAACGCGAACAACAAACAAAAAGGATTCAGATTTCATTCTTTAAACGACGACGTGCTATCATACGAATTCCGATGCTCTTAAATTTCAAACTTTTAACTTTTATATAATTTTGTTCGATTCGTGTATCATAGGCTGGGATCATCGCTGCATTAATTTCTACATATTGCGTATTATTTAATTTTTCCATATACATATAGTATTTCACGCAACCGTACTACCAACGTGGACGTATTAATATAACTATTGCAGGCTGACGCGTTCTAAGCATCTAACGATCGGCAATCAGGTAGAACCGTGTCTCCTGTAGACGAATCGTCGTTAATTATTAGCGTGGTCGGTTATCGATCAAAATTAGCTACGAGCAACGGGGAGATCCGAGTTGGAGAGAACAAACGAACGAGCAAAAGGGGAGAATTACAGCGGGATCGAAGCGTCGTTGGTTGAATTCGGGGGACGCGGACGGTGCGCGCCGCGCGGAAATTTCGCGTGCGGGAAAGTGCGCGGGGTGCCGCTAGAATATTTAAAGGCAAGGGTTGGCCTTGCCAGCCGGTACCTAAGTGGCACTCTCGCCTCTTCTAACCGTCTTTTACGTATTCCGGTGGAAACAACGAAGCCTCGACGTTAAAATCGCGCGGCGCGGCATCAACGTTCTTCGACCTCGTCGCGTGCCACCGGCAACTTTTCATTCTTCTTCTAATATACATATCTGGCTGTGTTGGTTGTTATTTTCGATGGAAACGCAATCTTCTTGGAATGCTCAAATAACGAACGTAGTTTTCATCGTTGGATCGAAAATTGTTCAATTTTGTTTCTTTCAGGTTCTAACGACAAACGCAAAACTATGTAAGGAACGCTAAGAAATACATATGCACGTACATTGTATATTTACATCCGATCGAATGAAACTTAAAACTGAATTTTTCTAATTTTTCTAATTTTTCTAATGTATTCGAATCTAGATTGGGTGTACCGAAGAATCACAAATTAAAAATTCTTTTTTTTCGCGTTGCAGATGTAATCCACCATCGTTGGAAGACCGTTCGGTAAAGGTGCAGTAACCAGTGGGGAAATTCTCAAGTATTGTTGCGTTTCCGTCTACGTAAAATGAACGAATGACCCGCGCGACACGTACGCGATGAGGCCAAAATCGTGTTCTCTGTTTCTGTTGTTCTGCGTGCTGCTGCCGGGCCTGGTGCGCCCTTTCACATCCGGCGAAGGTGAGTAGTAGTTGGTACGACTGTCTAAAACTCCGTGGGAGAACGCAATCAGGAGGGAAAAACTAAAGGCGGGACGATCGTAATTTAACTCGGGCTTTTAACGAGTACTCGACACGCTGCTCGACCTGGACTCCGTCGATTAGCAATCACGCTTCCGACATTCACGAATATCGCTCGGATCGAAACCGCAGCCGTTGTTCCTTCGACGTGGAAACAATGCGATACGAATGCTTTTGTATAAAAAGATAACTGGAAGACGAAATTGCTTCGACTCTTCTCTTCCTTCTTTCAGACAACTGTAATTATCTATGGAACGTGTTAGGCATTCTGCAACCGGTTAAAATCGTGAAATAGCGTAAAAATGTAGCACACACGTTTAAGACAATATTTCTTTAAATATCACTCTAAAATAAAGAACGTAAGAAAGAAAAATTACGTCAATTACGTTCGTACGATAGTCTGTTCTGTTTTTAGACTGCAGATTTATCTTTGATTATTAATATGCAGTTGAGAATGATTCGGTACCCTTATCGAGGATCGTTAGAATCGACCGCGGAGTTCGATGATCGAAGGATACACCCGCGATTAGCAGCGTCGCGACATACTTTTTGCGATTCCCGCGTTAAGAAAGGAAGGTCGTGTTTGTACTGCACCGGTCTAGACGCGAGCTCGCTCCGCGAAAAGGGAAAGGAGAAGCAGAGGGGCCAGGCAGATCTAATTATACGGCAAGTCAGCGTTGCTGATTAGTGGTGGGCATAACCGGCCGGTTACGTTACACCAGCCGTTTTCGATGATGGATTACGCTCCCCTGGAGCTAGTTTTAAAGCGACCTTACGCTCCCAGCGCGAGGTAGAACCCTTCTCTGCTTTCTTCGTTCGCTGCTCTCTCGTCTAACCACGTGGCCAACTAATCACCGCCCTCGACGGATTCACCGGGGGTTCCTCGTAATCGCGACGTGAGTAAAGCCGTCTAATGGAAAAAATTGTTATCGATGTCCCTTGAAAAGCGTTAAAGACTATGCGGAGAGTCGATGGGTCCCTAAAATCTTTCGTCGAACAACTCGTATACAATACGTGTCACGGACATAAACGAATGACAATGCACGGATCACGAGGCGTCCAAGACGATCGACTGTGCGACGGTTTTCTCTTGCCGCGGATAGCAATGAGGCGAACGTAGTCCGCGTGCGTAGAAACGCACGTATACGAGCGTGAATAATTACCACGACGATTTATCGCGACGAGATATCGCGTCATAACTTTGCCGGCTTGACTGGCCGCCGCGCCGCGCCGCGAAAAATATTAGCCGCGTTAATAATTAACGAGCCCGGAGAAGGTCGTGTTGTGTTCACCGGTTCGTCGTTCTCACGTTTTGGTCGCGGCGGTGTCGCCACCGTTTCTACTTGGCGCCACGCTACATTTTTCACGCTCGCTTACGAAACGACTCGAACCAACGTCAAGTTTATCCTATGTTCTCCCAAGCAGAACACTCGGAAATAATAAAAAAATTCGTTAACGCGGTTGCGATTTACTTCAAAGTTAATTCGACGGATGGACGATGCAGGGAGCAAATAACTATCCGTTCGATTCAAGAGTACCGTATTACCGACGATAAGTGTTAAGAATTTTTTTTTTTTTTTATTGAATGCTGTGTAACCCTCTACAGGATTATTAGCAACGCATATAAATGCGTAATACAGTTAGGATATATACCTACATTAAGATTATCTGAATACACTTATCGATAGAAAATTATAAATTACAGAAAATCAGCAACTGATTTAGATTAAATACATATACAATGCTTCTCTAGGAATTTGAAAATAACCATTAGCGAGGAGATGAATGAATGAACATAGTTTAGCAATCATTTCGCTTCTGCCAAGTGTTAAGAGTTACTTAATTTTATTCGTAGACGTCGTGATGGAGAAATTTCATTTCCAACAGGTTTTGTAACAGTTTCGTAGGTGTCCAAGAATACGTATATCGCAATTGCGTTGTAATTAAAACAGCTCGTTGAAAAGTATACAAGTGCGTACCTTGATCCTCGAGGCGCCTCCGAGCAATCCCCTCCCTTCGTCTGTTTTCTTTTACCTTTCCCTCCCGCGGCAAGCCTGCCGGCAGCTTTCGCTCGCAGTTACACCGACTCGAAAGAATTACGATCGGAGAAAATACGAAGGCTTCGTGAATAAGTAGGTATTTGGCAACGCGTCGAAAGCGAGAAGCAATCTTTAATTACATGGATGCTTCGATCGAGACGATTTTCCCGTTCTTAGTTTCGAATTAGGTGTTGTTATTTGGTGTAAAGTCGGTAGACGGAATAACGGTACTCTGGTTGAATTTACCGCGTCTCGTGAGAACCTATTACTCATCCTCAGCGGGTACCGATGAGCACCTCGTCTGCTCCTCGATAACAATCATAAGTAAATCGCGATCAACGTTCGCGATAGCTTCGAGAGCGTGGCCAGGCTGAAACTCGGAGGTAGTGGGAAGTCGGTGGATCTCGTGAAATCGCCTCGAGCAAAAATGCAAGCAGCGTTGGACGCTAGTTGGTGGATTCGGTCGAGCGAGCAATTACCCGGTTGGTTCCACGGTAGAACGGGGCCCGTTCTCGAGCCGACAGCCACCAAGAGACAGAGGGTTGAAGAGAGCGGCCAGAGTCCAATGGAAAAGAAACGAAAAAAATAGCTGACAGCAGCCACCAAGCGGGAGGAGGGAGAAAAACTCTTTAATCTCTCGTAGTCTCTCATCGGCACAGTGCCCGACCACGCGGTCGAGCCGATCTTTCTCTCTTTCTCTTTCTGCAAACCTTTCTGGACTGCCATTCTTTTCGTTGCCGCGGCGAAAGGTCGGGTCAGCTTTAATTATCGTAAATCAAACGAGAGAGTGGTGCGCAGAGAGAAGGCCCCGGCAGTTGTGCAAGCGTGATTATTGTTGAAATCTTGGAGAACCTCGGGAAAGTCTATGGCCGAGTAAAAGATAAATATCGCGAAGAATCGATCGATCGAATTGCAATCGATGTCCGACGTGGTGATTAGCACGAAAATTTTTTGAAAATCTCCAATTACGCGGTAAAAAAAAACCCGCGTTTTCCCGCGTTTGATCTTGCCGCGTCGAAGAATTCGAATCTTCGAGACTCGCAATTCCAATGTAAAGCGGTACACGGGGATCTATGTACCTTTGTGTCTCGCGAACGGGACGATGAATTCGCAAAAGCTGCGACGTGAAATTTAGTTCCAGTTCGACGACAACTGGATGCACAATGGGCAACAGTGAATCGGCGAGACGCCAATTCTCGAGGGCATCGTTATCGATAACGGGTGAAAGAAGGCACTGCGGGAGGCGCGCACGCAACCGACCGACCAACCAGTCGTATCTGATTCTGTTGTTACTCGGTTAATTACACGCCTTAACGCGAGCCTCGCTGCCATCCTATAATCGACTCGTGTAATACGCATCATCGCCCTTCGTTTTCTACTCCGTGCGCGCTGCTTTTTATATCAACCCTTTCTTTTTCCCCGTTTTTCGAACCGTTGGATTCTTTTAGCCTAAACGTGTGCCGGGCATCGATTTCTTTTACCAAATTATCGGTCCTGTGTCTCGTGCGTCAGTTCCTACGGTATGGTACCCGCTTACTCGCAGATCGAGTAAGAACATCGGTGTTGCAGGTATCCTTGTTAATTAAGAGACGTCGCGATGTGTGGTCTCCCGGCCGTAGATATACGCTGAAACTGTACATGATTGTGCTTGTGACTCTGACCGGCGCGGCGTAATACGTGGTCAACAGTACCATACGGTAGCAACGCGATGCTTCTCGCGAAGCGTGTGCACACAAACGAGCAGCGTGTACGCGATACTTGTATGGGTGGATACGTGCAAGTACCTACACGCGTAACAAACTTAACCAGCCAGCGTATCCAGAGGATATGCGACTAACTACTGTACGTATCTAGCTACGTTGGGCTAACGAGAGGCTTCGCGTAGATCCGTGGCGGCTGATTCGAGCACCGCGCCATCGGAAGATCCGGATACACCGTTCCGGGCCAAATTATCGGAAACCGATGAGCCTGCTTTTTTCCTACGATCCCGGGCTGGTCTCGCGTGTCGCGTGACGTTGCACAATTAAGTTCGCCCGCCACCCCTACCCTGCCCTTTCGCTCTCGGGATTCCTTTTTTTCCCTGTTTAGCTCGCTGCTCGCCGTGGCAAGGATATTTGCTGGTAGCAATTACCGCCGCGCGATGTAAACAGGGGTTTACAAAGGCTGCAGTTTCGAAACTGTAATCGATCATAGATCCAAGATTACAAGCGTAAATCTGAGAACAAAGGTGACACAGAAAACGTATTATAGAATGCAGTTTCCTCGAAAACGAGTATCAAGGATAATTTAATACGAGAGACGATATTGATGATCTTAAGTACTTTAATCTTGACTCTGATGTATGTAGCAATTGTCATCTTGGAACGTTTCGTATAAATTTGATCAGTTCCAAAAAGGGTTGTCACGACTCTACCTTTTTGAGTAAAATTTTACTAAACAAGCGTCTAACCAGAGCGTTCTTCCCGGTCCTCTACGAGAGTCAACTTGTTTGATTAGGCGACTAGGCGCGTAAGATAGATCGAAAAATTATGAATTCGTGATGATTATGAGAACGTTATCGGTCCAATCAGCGATATGGCTCGCGGTCGAGCATCGAAAGTGGCTAACGAGAATTTTCGTACGAACTGATTCGCATGCGGGTAAAAACTGGCTGCCGCGATTCTAGCACACCCCGTCGGACAGCCGATCGAGACCCATTATCGGAAACCGATGAAAATTCTCTTTTAGTCGCACCTCGATTCGCCACGGGTACGTCACGTTACCAAATTTTTTCTATCCCCCCCCATTCGTCTACCGACGCTTCTCATTTGCCCGTTGCCCAATTCCTATCTCGCCGAGCAGGATATATCGGAGCGTATCTGCCAGCATCGGATATAAATTCTGACATTTTTTTCCCCGCGCGAGGGAAATTTTTTCCTCGCTCCTGGACAATGTGAAAAATAGCGAGAAACGAGAACGATAAAAAGCAGCGAGATGGTCGGTGGGTGGTTGTGACGTCTGTCGATCGCGCGATGTTGCTTGGCGGTTTTGGATTTTAGTTACCGAAACATCCAAATGCATTTGGAATATCTTTCTAGGCTGTTGGAAGCCCGATTTTAATCGCGACGCGTTGCACCCTTTTTTTATTATTATGTTATTTGAAAATTGGTTCGAGACGAGAAGGATATAGAGCGGTAGCGATTATCGCGATGAAAATTGTGGCCTTCGGCCAAATGTCGCACGGGGATAAAGGTCTAACCACTCGTTGGCGGGAAATGCATCGGACTTGTGCACCGGTGCGCCGCGTAAATCCGAAAATTCATTACTGCAGCGTGCGCCGCGCGATTGTTCGTAGCCAGAACGCGGAGTTTCGGGCTTGCGAAACGGCGGCATTAATGGGCCGGCGTCAGGATTTACAAGAGGGGAAGGGGCAAGGGGTGCGGGAGGCCATTGTTGACAAGCAAATATAGAATTTTCGCGATTTCGCGATTTCGATGGGACGCACCGTGAATAATGCCCGGCCCGAATTAATAACTCGATCGTAAATTACGATTACGGCTGTACTCGTATTTAGAATTCAAATGACTGACTGGCCGCGTCGTCGCGCGATTCCGCCTGATTGCGACTGCCTCCTGCCGCGATAACGATCGTAATCCAATTCTCTGCATTTATCGCGCGCCGATAATAAGCAACGACGTTCGTTCGTTTCGGTTAATTACCAAACAACCAACAAGCCTCCGACTCCATTGTCGTCCATTGAAATTCGTTGGAGTTCTTGTCACGAATAAATTACGCTAAAAACCGGAACTATGACCCGTATACTGCGATTAAATGCAAGAGAAACCGACACAATGGTTCTTATCAGTTCCTCGTACAGTCGTGTTCGCTATTTAAGCCCGATAGTCTTGTTTCAGACGGCGAGGATGCCGCGGAGGACGATGATTCCTACCTCTTGGAGGAAGACGATGACGTACCTTCGGCCACGATAGCCACCGATACCGAATTGATCTCCGAATCAGGCGGTCATCTGCCGGTCTTTCTCACCGAGCCAGTCGATTCCTTCGTGGTTAAAAGCAAACCAGCTACGTTGCACTGCAAGGCCGCTCACGCGTTGCAGATCTATTTCCGTTGCAACGACATAAGGGCAGTCGAGTCCCAGCAACAGGACTTTGTGGATCCCCACACCGGGACCAGGATAGTCGACTGCGAACTGAACGTAACCAGAGATCACATCGAGGAGTACTTTGGAAGGGACAAGTTCAAGTGCGAGTGTTTTGCATGGTCAGGATCCGGGCAAATCAAAAGTCAACCGGCCACCGTCGACGTTGCCTGTAAGCAATTTATAACAAATCTGCCGGATCGATGTCAGTTTTTATATATACGTGCACGGTTAAAGTTAAAGAGACGTAACGTACTGAATAATCGGACGATAGGGTTTTAACGATTCGAGTTTAACCACGATATGTCGGAAACATACGTAAACGTCGCACAAATACATATAAACTCGGAAGCAAGTTAAAATTTTAGCACGAACCGAACACCTCGCTAAGCGATAAATGTTAACAATGTCGTTGCAGAAATATTTTGCCTCGGATGGTTGTGTGCCTGCTTGCCAAGACAGCTACGAGTTTCGTCTTACTCCGTCCACGCCCCCTCGTAATTATCTTGATTCTACTAAGCGAGGTCATTATTTAATTCCGACCCTTGATGCAAGGCAAGGCAACACAATGACGACCGGACTTTCTAAGAGAATCAATTTAGGAAAGGACCGTTTGTCCATTATTGTCGGGCTTACGTAACTACATACTCGCCATTGAAACGAATATCTCATTCACGAAACAGCAATGAAAAATGGCCAACATTCTCTTCGGCAACGAAACGGAATCGAGCCGTTGCCACTGTAAACACTTGTATATGAATATTGACATCTATTCCCCCTTTCATAAAACTTTTCCACGGCGATTCTTCGTTTCGCCGATACCGTGTCTGTTCGATCATTCTAAATTCCATTTACCTAGACTTGAAGAAGCAGTTTGAGTCCCCGCCGTACTCTGTATCGGTCGAGGCGGGCCAGAGCACCGAACTCAGGTGTCTCCCTCCCGAGGGAGTGCCATCGCCGAGAGTGTACTGGCTGAGAAATAACGTCCCTGTCGACACCGAATCGGACACGCTTTTAGTATCGAGCGAGGGCCACCTTCTCGTGGGTCAGGCGAAACTGAGCCATCAAGCGAATTACACTTGCGTCGCGGAGAACATCGCCGCCAAGAGATTGAGCGAGCCTGTCAGCTTGACGGTTTATGGTAAGTCCTTTCTTTCGATACAACCCACATATGTACTTTTTAGCATAACTTTCCCCTCTTTGGCTGATACAACGTACGCATCTACTTATATCAACGCGCAGCGTAGCACGCGATTAAAAATTAATTCACGTTGTTCGATCAGTTTTATATACTATCTATGTTTATTTATTTTATTACACTTGTTATAAAATAATTGAGGAAAGAATGGAAAGTTTATAAGAAAATAAACTTTACGATCGATTCTTTGAATGGACCGAAACTATCGTTGAATCAAAGCATCGTCCTGGTTGATTCCGTTGCAGTGAACGGTGGGTGGTCCTCCTGGTCAGCCTGGTCGGAGTGTTACTCGAGATGCGCGAAAGGGGGTCAAAAGAGGACGAGAACGTGCACGAACCCCTCGCCGATGAACGGGGGTCAACCCTGTCTCGGGCCATCCCAGCAGAAGATGGACTGCAACACAGCTTGTCCTGGTGAGTCTCTCGAGCGCGTTACTTTAACGAAATTCGATTTACAAGGAAGCACCACGCGCTTCGTGAACGTCAATGCGCCATTCAGTTCCGCGGGTAGAGGTTTCTTGCTCGTTCCGCCGCTTCTTAGCGGTGTCGTCTATTCCCCGACAACGTTCTACCTACGTCCAGCGAGCAAACAAGCAGGATAGACCGATCGTTGGGCCTTCGTTCGATCTCGAGCCGTGTGTAGCGGAGAAGACAGTCAAGCAGGTCTTGCCACGACAAACCAATATTACCGATGCTGGAGAGAGGACACTCTCTCGTTTGATTTACGACTTTTTCCTCTCACGGTCGCCTATCCGTTGCATTCCATGTTCCACCCCACCTCTGTCTGTCTGTCTGTCTGTCTGTCCGACTGTCTGTCTGTCGTCCTTTCTCTCTCTACCTCTCTCACTCGCTCTTTGTGTTTACCTCCATCCTCGCGCACCGTTGGCTTTCTTAAATTGTATTCACCTTTCGAAAACGTTTGCGACATTCGGAAAGACACCTGCGTCGCATCCCTGTCGAGAGTCGTGCGGAGTGTATTGAAACAACCGTCGAGGGCAACGTCCACCAAGAATCGAGGTTCTGCAGCGACACTTTAAATATTAACCCCTTGTCTGCTGCGACGCGTGACATTTTTATCTTACCTATATACCGTCGCTGCTCTAATTGGTTGCAAGTGTCAACGTTCCGCAGTCTTGTTACGGAGAAACGTCTGACAAAATCTATTTCTATTACATCGCACGATAATTACGGTTGAATAATTTATGATGACACGTACAATGTGTTTGCAACATAAGCAACTATGGTAAATGCAACTCACGCGACAAGAGGTTAATACGCGCTAACGAAACGTGCCACGCTTTTCTGTACGCACTCTGTTCCTATCACCAAATAACCATTCGTCCGCTTTCGATAACGCACCTACGTCTTTTCTGTCTTTAAAGCTTACTCCGGAACAGCTGGCGCGTTGGAGGAGTTCAGCAACAGTTTAGGTAAGCGGTTGCTTATGCGTCTATTTAAAAACGAAACTGAAAATAGGTGTAGAGAAATGAACCATTTCTGTGTATTGCGTGACGAGACGATCGAGGGTCACCACATGGTTCATTTTTTGCGTGTCACGGAGCAAGAAAATGTCAATGCTCGTAACCCAACGAATTCACGTATATGCATACGTATGTGGCTTTTAAGGAAGACTTGACAGGGATACGGACATGTTACAGACTCGTTTTACCGGTCGTTTAAACGACTCTGCGAGACTAAATAGTATTCGATCTGTTCTTTTCCAAATAGTGGTGGACGGAGGATGGTCCAGATGGTCGGCGTGGTCGGTATGTGGGAACGACTGCACGCATACCAGAAGAAGATCGTGCGACGAGCCACCACCTAGCCATGGTGGCCGATCGTGTCAGGGTAGGGACATCAGCGTGGCGAATTGCACGGGCGGGATGTGCAACAGTAAGTCACGAACAGCTCTATTCTTTCCCTGTCGCGATTTAGTCGATGTCTGTCTGCCGAGACGCGTTCCTTTTTTACTAGAGAAATGTGCGTAAACCTTTGAAAATCATCAACCCTTCGATCCGGAGAAATTAACCCGAGAGATTTAATTTTCATAAATTCAGAAATAATTCATTTTGTATCGTAGATTGTCTCTGTCATTCTATCGTTCTTTCTTCTAGGTGTCGGTACAAAAATGGGTGGCACGCATTTGACCGAGGAAGGTAAGTGTCCAGAAACAATGTTCATTAAAAGACTTTTCTATCTTTGATATGTTTTTTCAAAAGAGAAATATTCCCTTGACGATTAGAGAAGCGGCGATCCGTAATATATACGTCGGTCTCCGTACTCTTAGCCTCGTTCCGGTGTTACAGCGACGCGTGCGAAATCGAAAGAATACTGCGCGAGTAGGAGGCACGGAGCTCGACCAGTCGCCAAGAAAATGCCCCTAACTCGTCGCGCGACATTCTTCGATGGATTATTCACGGTCAGCCGAATGCCGTTTATATTCCCCGTTCGGCGCGGTTTGCGATCCGATGCCGCCGTTCACATCGCTCGCTTCGCGCGAGTAAATAGAATATCTCGCGATTTATGCCAGCTTTGAGCGTTGCTTGACCAACGATATACAATCCGTCGATCACGGCTACATTAAACGCGCCTACGAGTCGCTCTTGATCGCGATCATCGTGGAACCAGAGAGATCTCTCATCCATCGTTCAAAAAACGTTTATTATTCGCGTGCTCTTTTTACGATTATAACTAGAAAAATTTGGTAAATTAGGCGGATAATTCCGCGCGCGGGATCCGCTTGCAAACAAAGCTTAGAGAGATGAGTTGGTTTTTCTCTCCGTCGCGAGGCAGTTGCGCTCGAGTATGTTTGTCGATCAAGTTTTCCGCGTCAACGGGCAACTTGGAAAGCCCCCCTCGACTATTTACATTTAATTACGCGATCGGTTAATTATTGACGCTCCGCGAGGGCCGAGGGCCGAGGACTCCGGGTTCTGATCGCGATCCAAACAATCGTAACAATCGAGGTGGGAGCCGGTAGTCAAGGGCGGCCCACTGCTCCGTATAGATCCAGATACCCCCCTGGAGGTGGACGGTTTCTATCGACCGTGCCACATCAAAGTTGCACGCGATACGGTCCTAGTCGAAGGGGGGTTTCCGAAGGATGGTGATGGTGTACGGGGAAGGGAGTGGCTTTAATATCGAAGAAAATTATGTAATCGGTAGTCGTTACGCCCCTCGGGGTCGTGCAACGGGGAAATTGATCGTGCATGCAAATAAAGTGCCATTATCCGTTGACGAAGCTTCGAAATTCTACGTGGATCGCTAGGTGGCGGAATGGATGTCCAGGAATTATCCCTTCAATTCCGGAGCATGTTCAATTTTCGCCACGGCTGCTATAAGACGCGAGCCAAGAGTTGCGAATAATAACGTGTCCTGAAAACGCACGCTACAGTATGGAAAAATATGTCTCCGTAAAGGTGAAAGGGTAAAAATGATTGCAGAATCTGTCGATACGGAATAACAAAAAAAGCAGGAATTAATCAGAGAGTTTGGATACATTAGGAGCGGGCTTGTAAAAATAAGCAAAAATAATAAATCTTGAGGGACCGGTGTCGTTTTTCAAGCTGCCTCGCCTACGGTCAAGTTGGCGAACAATTTGCATATATACTGCCGCCTTTTTTCACTCCCGGGGTAACGACGTGGAACTATTACGTTTTAGGGAATCTCTCTTCCCCTTTCGAATCTCGTATGCGTTTTCGACGCCGCGTATATTGATGTTCGAAGCACGTGTCTCTGGAACAAGCGTGCTGCCAAGCAGACACACATGATCCTGCGAAGGAAAGCCGGTCTTTGAAAGTCACGTACCGGGGTTACAGCCGAGAATGGCTTTGACATTCTAAAATTGGAAGAAGCTTAGGAACGTCAGCCGTGGTCCGTTGTGGTATTTCTTGAAAATCTTTCCCGGTAGTGCGCGCATTTTAAGTTGGGAGAAACTTGGTCACGTCGACCGAGACATATGAAAAAAAGCTTTTTAACAGATCCGTCCGAATGTTCAAAGTTTACCATGCTCAAATTCGAATTTCTTTATCGCTTGTATAGTTTAATCGATTGCAACTCTACCTCCCCTTTATCAATTTTTTCGTACAATCTTGTGTATTACGACGTGTCAATGGCCGCGATAATGACGATCATAATGTTTACCGCTGCGCGAAATAACGCAATACTGCGGGACGATAAACCCAGAGGGAACAAGTTTGTCGTCGGTGTAAATGGCGAGGAACCTTAAAAGTTTCCTACGACGCTCGTAATATTTAGCGCCGCGAGGGAAGCGTTTAAAAACGCCCACCGTCGAAAGAGAGAGGCATCGAGTGCCTCACCCTCCGGGAACGCGTCCGAGGAGCGTAAAAAGTAAATAAAAGTTGCCGCGTAAATTATTCATGAGCGAGTGGTTGATCGTCGTCCAGCACGGAGCACGCTTCGCGGACACGCGAAAATTACCGACGCCATTCGCACGGTACGTCTTAAACGGGCCGCGAGATCGTATCACGAAGCGCTCCTTGCAACGAGGAATTAACGCCTGTTGGCTTACTCTAATCCTGTACCAGCCGATTATTTTTCAGCAACCGGTTCAACGCGTCGCGACGTCGTAATAAAGTTTCGAATTAGCGCCCGTGAATCTTTCTTTCGCGTTTCGCTCACTGTCCGTGAAACGTTCGCTGATTCGAAACCTTGGTAAGAGAAAAAACGTCTCGTTTGATGTTCACAGCGAACCGCCAGATGGACGTGGCTCTCTACGTAGGTTTGACCGTCGCCTGCGTAGTAATCGGCGGACTGGCGTTTTTCTTAGCGAAGCTTCTAAGGCGCAAAGGTCGAGACCATTCCCTTTACTCCATGGCCCGTAACGGTAAGCCTTTCAAAGAAACAAACCAAGGAGCGAAGGGTGACGTTCGCTGAGAAACACACAATCACATGCACGATAAAGACGTTTCTCAACGAGATTACGCGTCTGTTTTGCTGTTGTTCTCGGTCCTTCGTGCGCCAAATACCATATCATGAACACGATACTGTGTATTTCGAAATTTATTCGACGCTACATGTTCGCTACTTTCATAAGAATAAAAGAAGTAGTATCTTTAACAAATTCTATCTGTGGTTCGTCACAGTGCTCTTATCAAAAGACATTCAAACTGTTTTGTGTACCTGTGCTCGATCCATAGGACGCGAACGACGCTGTAGCTTTTTTCGCTAATAGAAAATGAAAGTGGCGAAGCTCGTTGTTCCAAAGGTCGAAATAGTGTCGCAGCGGCGTGTTCCCGCATCGCGCAGAGATACCCAGGAGCCGTGTGCGTTTCAGAATTCCAGCCAGAGTTCTTCCCGGACCAGGACAAGAAGCTGAGTTTACAGCCGGATGTAACAGCAACTAGCGTGCCGGCTTGCTACGAGTATCCATTCGACCCGAAGCTGTCGATGTCGAGATCCCTCTCGGAGCATCATTACGACGTGCCGCATCTCTCGATCGGGCCGCAACCCTCGCCAATGTCACCCACGCCTAGCACATCGACCCAGGAGTCCTGCAGCGACAAGCAAATCCATTCCGACTGCGAGAACAGCGTCACCAGCTCCTACCCGTCCTCCGACTCCACGTACAACGTCGCCTCGGAGAGCGTCAGATTGCCAAAGTTGGAAACCGGAAACGTGGCCGGGGCGGCGGTAAACACGCGTGGCGCGCTATTGGTGCTTCCGGACGCCGGGATATCGATGTCGGTGCCCGAGGGAGCCGTGCCGAAGAAGCCACTCAGGGAGGAACTCTACCTGGCGGTGCTCAACGAAGATCGCTTCAGGCCTCGATTGCCCGGTAAGCGACGCGTTAATTATTATCCGCTCGTTACGTCGACTTAAGCGTTGTCGTTTTAAATTCGATTTTACGAGATTTTCGAGTCTTTGAAGAAATTCAGTAGTATAGAGAAGAAGGTTCTCGAGTATTTATTTCCCGCGATATTACACGTGCACGGTCGCTTGTTTCCCCTACAGATGGTATCACGCAATTATCCGCGGTGGTAACGTGCGGGCCCTCGTCGGCGACCTTCAACAAGCCTGTGATCCTGCAATTCGAGCATTGCGCGATACTGCACCTGGCCACGTGGGAATTGAGCGTCTGGGCGTGCGACGGATTGAGCATCGAGGACGGCACGGCGATCGCCTCCTCGAAGGACCATCAATCGATCACGTGGACCAGGGTGTTGACCCTGGGCAACGAGACGATAAACACGCCGCTGTTCACGCAGCTCGACCACGCGGAAGCGTTCATCGTGACCGAACAATTGCGGGGCTACGTTTTGGCCGGGCAAAGCTGCGAGAACTCGATCGCCACGAAGAGACTACGGCTGGCGTTGTTCGCGAGCCAAACCGGTCAGTGTTGCGTCCGAGTGTACGCGGTCGAGGACACGAAGGCGGCGATGAAGGCGATCGTCGATCGAGAATCGCAGATCAGGGGCTATCTGCTGGACAAGCCGCGAACGTTGCTCTTCCAAGACAACGGGGAATCGTTGTGCGTCAGCTTGGAAGAGGTCGGTAACGAGTGGCAGAGTAAATCGCCGACGGAGCGACAGGAGATCTTGTTCAGAGACGCGTGGAACTGCCAGGAGAACACGAAACACGTGACCTTTGGGCTGGACGCTGCCTTCGGACCTACCACGACCAGAAGTTACAAGCTCCAAGTATCGCAGGGGAACTCGGACACGAGGCAAGTGTTCAGGATCGTCTACGACGGCGCGAAGCAATTGATTTCCTCCGGAAGCGTTACCAGGCCGCTCAGAGAAGTGACCGTGGTCAGCAGCGGACATGCTAATAACGCGACCACGGACTCCACTACCTTGAGACCGTTTCGGTTTACCAGGTCCCTGAGGAAGCAACTTTGCCAGTGCCTGGATCCACCGAACGCCCTGGGCAACGACTGGAGAATGCTGGCGCAGAGGCTTCAGGTTGACAGGTTAGCTATATCGTTGTAAAAGCATGCGATTCAATCTCTCTCGTACGTAATATTCAACGGAGAAACCAAAGATCGGCAGTCGTATCGGTGGTAGTATGTTGGATTATTTAGTGCACACGGATCTATGCCACAAATAATTGTCTATATTTCGAATACAATATCGACACACTTGGCTAATAATACTCGACTAATGGCGGTCTTAACACGCGTGTAGTTAGAGACAGAGTGGACCAAAACAAAAAAAGAAACATACGTACATTCCGACTCGAAATAAACTAGTTTTCTATATAATATCCAACATAGTAACTCTACTATATCTGGTCCTCGTTCGTATAACGACACGTCCCGTGGTATTTGATCGAAAGAAAACACGCGTCTCTGGGTGTTACGTTATAGGTACATCAACTACTTTGCAACAAAGTCTAGTCCGACCGAGCACATTCTGGACTTGTGGGAGGCGAAGCATCACGAACCCACGGCCGTCACGGATCTGTTGAACCATCTTCGAGTGATGGGCAGAACAGACGCAGCGACCATCTTGGAAGCCCAACTCGGCCCGTGGCTTTGAACTGTCGCGATCTGTCAGAGTTTCGCGACGTATCCGGTGGTGAGTGAAAATAAACGATTCGCGTGTGGTTCGCTACTCTCGACGGGGCGATCGGTGAATAAGCGAGTTACCGGCCGTTGAACGGCCAACACGAAATTCCTCGATCTCGTGCGTGCCGATCATCTCAACGAACTCATCGAAACACTGCCTTAATTGTACGCGATTCGCGCGTTTTTTTGTACATAGATCTCTTTGTAATAAGGCGAAATATTTTTACCGTGAACTCGGATCTGTAAAAGAATCGTACGTAATAATCATGAACGAAGTAACTAGAACTGTGCATTTAGATGGATATACATATATGTACATACGTACTAAAGACACGTGAGAAAATGGATATATCCATTTAGACGGATGTTTATATATAAATATAAATAGATAGATAGATAGATAGGTAGGTAGGTAGGTAGTTAGGTAGGTAGAAGACATCGAATAAGAAACGAGGAAAAATGAAAGATCTACATCGATCCAGCACGATGTGAAAAAGAAAAAAAAGCAAAAGGTAATGGAACACATTTTACAAATTTGTTACGCCAACGTACGAGCACGCGTGCGAGTGGTAAATAGTTTCTTGGGGGATGATCGTGCCAAAATTCTCACTCTCGGTTTCCGTTGATCTTTCTATTCACAGTTTATTGAATATGCCGTGATTTCTTTCGTGCACGTCGACAATACACGCCGCGTCGATATACAACCATTTTATACGAGGAGAAAGAAGGACGAACGATCGCGCGCGGATGTTCGATCGCGTAGAACGATCTCGATTACGACAAATCTGATGATTTCAATCGATGCAAGTTTATTTGGAAGAACTGTATATTTGTTACTTTCGACGAATAAAATATTCTTGTATACCTCGAACAATCGTTTCTCCCTTTCCGTCGATCCCTTTCTCTCTTGAACTCTTCTTCTTCTTTGTTTACGTTTTTCGAAGAAAACATCTATACACTTTGTTTAATGATTATTCGGTGACATGTATTTATGTTATTTATATTGTGTAAACGAAACAGACCGTTTAACTTTAAGCTTTACTCTAATCGCTGTAAGATCAGTAAACGAAGAAATAACAACGAGAAAACTCGTGGTGTGTCTTTCTTGCACGTTCTTCTTTAATAGTCTTTAATCTTTAGGGCACAAGCGAAGTCGTTTCATAGGAGCAACTCCACCGAAATGTAAGTAAAAAAGTACAATTTTACTGAACAATTTACGGCTGAAAAGCTATTCTCCGGGATCGATCAGAACCGTACACCGTCCATCGCGATCTTTCACGCGAGATACATATATACAATGAACTCTTGATGCTTTGCAGATGCATTTTATCGACGTATCACCGATAATTTCCAGCAAAAGGCTGTCTCGTCTCCTCCCTATTTCAGCCATCTATTGGTTCCAGCGACAGCCACGGACTCGAATTCCACGACTCGTTCGACAAAGATGAAACGTTTTCTATCCCCCGTGTCTTTACTTGGAACGGTCTGAGAGGGGTTAGAGAAAACTATTCCTGAATTTTTCTTGCCAGCTGCCAGCAGGTTGGTGTGTAACAGAACGCTCTGGAACGCAGGGATGAGACGGGGTGACAATGAACGCCGCTGAACGTTGCAATTTCAAAATGTCGATACCAGTCACGCCTACAGCCTTCCGTTCCTATTCTCACCTTATCCGAGAGCAATTGCACCTCCCTAAACACACTTATCGTGACAATTGCCGTGCAAAATTATTTTCGATTTACCGCGTGATCCTTGGGGCGTGTGTACGAAAGGCTGACCGATAAAGAGAATCATCTAGCGAGCTATATGTATATGTATTTACCGAAATATACGGTGCTTCGTTTCCGTAAGACGTTAAAAGCGTTAGAAGAACGACACGACGGATATCGCGATGCATGTTTGACAGATAAATGCAGTGAAAAGAAAAAAAAAGAAGCGTGACTCGTTTTCGTAGGTGTTAACGTAGAATTCTAGAAAAGTAGTAGGAAAAGATTTAAAACTGTCCCCCGCTTCGTGTGTACGCGGAGGACTGTGAAAAGTAATTCCGTGAGAGTCCCGGACGCCTCTCTTAAGTCCCTTTCGGACGCCTCTCGCGTCGTCGTTGCGTAAACGTAACGGAATGCGCACAAGTGTTCTTCAAGTGCTCCAGCATGTTGCCGGTCGGAAAGTCCAAGTGTCATAAAAATAGCTCGAAAGGAACGGTTACTTCTCCCTCTACGAAAAATGAGACGAGTATCCGATGCCGGGTTTTACTATTCACGCGATTACGAAATGGACGCTTCGGCATGCCAAATCCTCATTGATATGCGTCTATCGACAGGCGTGCTTTGATTACACCCTTCGGGCTGGGGTTCCGAAAGTATCATCCGCGCTATCGACCTGACTTATCCTCCTATTTCGTTCGTTTCGATTCGATGTACCTTCGTAACCAACCATTTATTCACACAAATTGGCTTTGTACAGCGGATTATATGTCCCGTAAAACAACTACGCTTATGTCAGAAATATTTTTTAGTATGAACAACACGTTCGAATCCTGAGGAAGGATTGTTAATGCCCTTACACAAGAATATGTGTATTTGTGCGTTCCCTTATCAAGATCTATTTGATTTGCAACAAACGCGTTCACCCTCTTTAAATATCAGCCTAAACGGATCCTTAACCCCCTTCGCTGGTGCGTCCATCCCTCGTCGAGCTAACCCTTTCCCGTAATATTTCACTCGGGTTTAGTCGTCGTGTCGAGGTAACGTTTTTCGAATTACAACTGCGCGTCGATTCTCACGCGTCCGTCGTCGTTGGAGAGAATCCGAGGCGGACGCGTGCGTCATCTTGGGGGGTCGTGGGTCGTGTCACGGTTCGTAGAAGCAAAATAGTCGGATCGTGAAAAAGCGCATCCTCTGACGCGCTGTAACGGCTGCGAGTCAAGAAGAAATCACGAATAAAGAAGGGAGAAAGAAGCGAGGCGGAACAGCGACGTTCTTGTCGAAGAGGATATTCGAGGGTGACTTGGCGCCGTTGGAACCCCCGTGAAAGTAGGGATGGCCGCATTGTGCCAGCAACTTTTCTCTCTCCGCAATACAATAAAATCCTCTTTGCGCGGCACGTCATTGTTTAACGGCTGATTGACGTTGATCGAGGGGCACGCCGGGCATCGTCCGCCATCCCCCTTCCGGAAAAGTGTCGCTCCATGGTATCTCGCGTTCGTACGGCAACGCTCACGCGCATCCGTCCACTGATATAGACGCGCGAATATTACGCCGACCGTGAAACTTCTGTCCTGACAGCAAGAGGATGAACTTTTATCGATCCGCAGAATATTTTCGGCTATTCACCGTTCCTTTCAATACCTCCAACTCGATTTTTTCCTAACCATCTTACAACTTACTAATTCTTGCTGCTATGCGCTCTGTATCATCGATATAAATCGCAAACAAAAGGACAATGTCGATCGTTGGTATATCGATTCGTTGACCAGTTAATTTTTCTCCAGAATCGTGCTGAAATTGTCAACCTATCGCAAGAAATTCTTAGCTCCGATTCTAAGGCGCGTTTCGAGTCTACCGTTGCTTTAAATCTCTATTCCGTTCGAACTAGCCCGCGACACAGCGGACAGAACTTTCGCCCCTTGGAAGAACCATCGATGTACACGGAAACATTAACACGAGCGCACCTACATCAGCCACCCTGCCTTCTGCTGGCTCTTTGACATCCAGCGGCGTTCCGATGTCGAGCATTGTACCGCGGGAGACGCGCGGGAGCCCAGTGACGCGTGACACGTCCCTAGAGGACAGAGGGAGTCGCTAAATAGAACGCCCATTAGTAACGAATACCGCGAGAAATCCCCTCGTGTGCCACGGTTAGTCTCGCTCTCTCACATCGTATACATAATGTGGCAAGAACGGTCAGGGGGTGAGTTTCGAGCGGGCCGAGAGTCCAACGGCCGGGCCCTCCGGGAACGATACGCGGTCCTGATAATTTTCTGTTAGCCGGTCCCGCCGCCGAGGGTGCGGATTTTCCCGGGTTCCGAATCTATCCACGTGTATAGTAACGAGTTGGTTGCATCCGGGAATCTCGATCGGAGAACGAGCTTGTTTGGAAATTTAACAAACCTCCCCCGCCAATCCCCTTCCCATAGACGATCGCATTCGACGCGAGAATGTGTTTGTACAGCAGAAATAATTGAAAACAACTATAGATAGAAGTAAACTAAAGAGTCAGGTGCTTCGAAACCGTAAAACGTATCGATCGAAAACAGGTAAAAGCGAGATTTGTCAGTAATTAATATCTTCCGGTTCCATTAAGCTCGTAAATTTAAACATAGCTGGCAGTAGATGACAGCCGGTGAAATTCCAGTTCGCGTTCAGAGAGAGAAAGCAGCAGCAGCAAATATTTCCTTACGCGGAAACGCCCGCCGCTGTAATAACACAGAAATCGTTACCTGCCAATTGAGATATCAATCTCGGTAATCGTTTAATCGCGAGATATCGATATTACCCGGCAATCGAGGGGGCTCGATCGCGAGCACGTAGCCAGTTGGTACTTGCGAAACAGCCGCGTTACCGTGCAACGTGCAATTATGAATTTTCACGGATTAACGTTAAAGCCCCTCTACCGTGATTCGCGTCGCGACCGGATCGCGGAGTAACGATCACCGATTCTTACGCGTTCCGGCAACTATTTCCATCTCCATTAAGTTTCGTATAGATCAGGTATACCTTTTACGCTTTTCCAGTCGTTTCGAATTAGCGAAATGTGTGCTCCAGTCGCGAGAAATGTCGACAAGTCAGTTTCGCGAGGAGGTACGTAAACTGTGACGAGCACGTTGGTCAGATCCGCCTGAAATTGGCAGCTCCGACCGACGAGGGTGTTAATTTTCGAGGGTGGGCTCCGCGTGTCTGTAATTAATGGGGCTTCTCATACGAATAAAAAAGTCCCGTGGGCGTAGCTGATACAGTAGTAGGTTGCTCGGTCGTTGATTGGTATCGGTAATTGGCCTGATTGTCCCGTGGCCCAATTAATTTAATTACGTTTAATCCTGTATCGACAAATTATTCGTTCGCTCTACTTTTGCGATTTCTTTCTTCTTCTCTGTTACGGTTTCAGTCTTCTATCGTCGAAAGGAAGAGTGACCGAATGAAACGAGGTTTCACCAATCTCACGATCAAATTCGGTTTTACGTGGGCAGCCACGAATTACGATATAGCAACGCGCAAGTACCTACACGTTTTACAGCTGCGCGTTTCCAATGCAACGGAGACAAAGAAGACAACGTGGAAGGGTGGAAGCCACGCAACGGAATTACGAGTTTTGTCGTTCTTGAGACGCGGGCGCGTTGCTTATGTAAATCGCGGCGCATCCACCGTCGGAAAACGCCGTTAAAATGCCACCGCGATATTGCTCCGCGCGCATCTTCCGCTTAATGCCATGCAAATTTCGATTAGTTCCGAAAGTTCGTTATAACAAGCTGCCTGGGAAACGGAGAAGATGAAACTAGGGACGAAAAATTATGCGGCTTCGCGACGCCTCGTGTTGCTTCCAGACGAGTTTTAGCGACGTAAAGGAAAGAAAAGATGGCAAACGTTCGAATATCAAACTATCTGCGATACGTATTAAAACTCTCATCGAACATGGGTAACTGGAATCCACCCTTTGACTAATTAACATATAATTATAGTCATGTACAAGGATAAACCCAGACCTAGACATTTCGAAACGTAGATCTTACACCTTATGGACTCTTATGGGCCAAAATTGACTCTGGTACCAATTAGTAGTCGGCTTTTTTTTTAAATTGCAAAGGTGATTGGGGCGAGGATAGGATGGGTCTCCATTCGCAGCAACCTC